CTGCCAGGGTGGCAGAGTCTGGATCCGGAAAGATCTCAACAGACTGGCGTTGAGAGGCCAAATCTAACAAAACAAAGGCAAACTGGAATAAATGTAAGTTTGTGCCCTTAGATTAAAAAAAAAAATCAGGGCTTCCTTGATTGGCTCAGTGGTTAAGAATCCACCTGCCAATGCAGGGGACACGGGTTTGAACTTTGGTCCGGGAAGATCCCACATGCTGCAGAGCAACTAAGCCCGTGTGCCACAACTACTGAGCCTGCAAGCCACAACTACTGAGCCCACGTGCCACAAGTACTGAAGCCCGCGCGCTTACAACCCATGCTCTGCAACAGAGAAGCCACCGCAATGAGAAGCCTGTGCACCGCAACAAAGAGTAGCCCCCGCTCGCCGCAACTAAAGAAAGCCCACGCACAGCAACGAAGACCCAACGCAGCCAAGTTTAAGAAAAAAAAAAAATCAGTAACACAAGTATCCATTTTGGGAGGATGAAGATTAATTACAGCAACAGAGAAAAAGAAAAAGTGCCTCCTGTAGATGGAGCATTCAAACTGGTGGTCACCGATTCTTGCAAAGGGAATTTGGTTTCAGGCTGCATTCATGGGATTTTGGAATCTAGAATCAGGGAGGGGAGGCTGCTGGTGTCTCTATGCTGGCCAGAGCAGGCCTGAAAAACTGTGCCTGGGACACCGAGCTTTAGAGCTGAGCAGAGGTTCACAGGGCTTCGACCCACGTCCTGTGGCTCAGAGGAAATGAGCTGAGCAAAATAATAAAAATGGTGATGGATAAACAAAACAAGACAAAAGCAACTCAAACTTGTGTAAATCTTTCAAGGGCTTGCATGTGCAGTATCTTGGTCAATATTCACAAGTGTCTGTGCTATGTATTATCCCCATTTTACAGGTGAGGAAATTGAGGTTTCAGAGAGGTTACCTGAGTTGCCCAAGATGGCAGAGTTGGTACAACTAACATTCAAGCTTATGTTCTCTTTTGCTGGTCAGGATTCCATGCCAGGTACAGAGCCGGGAGGGAGCACAGCAAAGGTGAGGGCAACTTAGGGCTTTCAAGGTTGAGGCTCTCAAATCTGGGTGATCTCAGTGGTTGCAGTGGGCGGGGGGGAGACGTCAGCAGCTGGGGCACAGAGAAAAAGAACATTATTCTAGACAGAGAGGGGTGGGTGCTGACAGGGAGCATTTTAGGAAATATACAGGCTAGGAGATGGGAGCTGTGGATCTAGGGCAATAGGAGTGGTACCCCCTCCCTGTCCCCAGAAGTGTTTTATCATTGGCATTGTTTAGAATTGCTGGCATGTGGTGATAATAGAGAGTAGACTGGCTGTTAGTTGGCTTTATAATTGTTTTTATTTATTTTTATGTTTTTTGATGTGGACCATTTTTAAAGTCTTTATTGATTTGTTCCAATATTGCTTCTGTTTTATGTTTTGGGTTTTTGGCCGCAAGGCATGTGGGATCTTAGCTCCCTGACCAGGCATCGAACCTGCATCCCCTGCATTGGAAGGCGAAGTCTTAACCACTGGACCGCCAGGGAAGTCCCTATGATCGTTTTTAAATCCTCTTCAGACAGTGCACCCTCCCCCTAATGCCTGCTGAGGGGATGTGTCCACTGCCTCTCTGCCCTTGGTAGGACGCTGCCCAAGGGACACTCCGTGTGTCGGTGATGCCACCAAGCTAGTCGTGAACAGTAGCATCTGCTGCTGTCTCCAGGCTGCTTTCTGGACTGGCGCCCTCCTCCACAGGAAGAGCCATGGTACATGCGGCCCACCCTTCCTAGTGCAAACAGTTGAAGTGATGTGTCCAGGGTCATAGAGATGGCCCGTGTATGAGTGGGGAAAACCCCAGCTTCCGGGCTCCCAGGCCAGGACTTTGTGCGCAAATCGTGTGGTTTCCTAGTAGGCAGGTGGTGAGGGTGTGGTGTGGCCATGGCTGGGGGAGACGTGCTGGCTGTGGGAGTATCTCCCCAGCAGCTGGACCACAAGGCTGTCCTCTCCAGCAGTGGGTACCTCGAGGAATAAATCATTCTGTTAGTGAGTTGTAGGGGCTGCTACCCTGATCTACTGCCCTGTTGCAGTGAGAAGAGAACTTGACAGAAATCAGGGGGCAATGGGCCAGCTCCAACACTAATAGCAGCAGCAACAATAACTAATCTGAAAAAAAAAATTAGTCCCTATTGAGTGCTTACCTAGGGGTTAATAATTATCCAGTGTTACTGTGTGCCAGGCTCTGTGTTAAGAACTTTTTAGCTTCCTCAAGTCCCCAACCATCCTAGGGAGTAACTTCTCTTATTATTCCAATCTTTCTCCTCCCCTCCCCCTCCTCCCCCCCCCCCCCCCCCCTCCCTCCTCCCCCTCTCCTTCCTCCCCCTTCTTATTCTTTTCCCTTACTACTCCTTTCCCAGGGAAGAGAAAATGGAGGCTAACAGGAATTAAATGACTTGGTCAAGGTCACCAAGCTAAGATGTAGTTCTGGAAGGACCCAGATTGAAATCCAGGTTGTCTGATACTGAGGCCCATTCTGAATGAGTACACAACCTCGCTCCCATTAATAAGTCCTGATGGCATCAGGGCCCCTGACCCAAGCCAGGTGGCCGGCGGCCCCAGGAACATCGTGAGTTCTTATGCTTGAACTTGTCTCACTGCCTCTCATCCATTCTGTCATCAGACTCCTCTCGGGTCCCACCCCAGGTGTCCTGTAAGCCCTGATCGAAGGTGGGAGAAGCAGTCCCCGTGTGGTAGTTCACCAACGGCAGAAGCAGAAAGTCAGGGCGTGACCATGATCTTCCAGAAGAGCTCAGGCCAGCCCTGGCCTTAGGTGACCTTGGGCCAGCCCTGGCCTTAGGTGACCCCAGGCCAGCAGAACCAGGATTTATTAATAATTACCTTGTCTCCTCCCAAGATTCTGCTTTACCTAGGAGAGAGTGGGCCAAGAGTAGAAGGAGAAAAAGACAGAGACAGAGACAGGGAGAGACAGGGAGACAGAGCAGAGAAACTTCATGCCTGGAGCAAGAAGGTTTTAGGTCAGGCACACACCTGAGCAGACCTTCACTTACAAGTGTGAAGGGGAAACATCACCTTCTCCCTCAGTTCGACGGATTCAGTTATTTTCCATCTTCCTGTGAAGGCTTTTCCCTTGAAATAGTTGGAATAATCCTCCCACTCATTAGCCTATGAAATTACTCAGCCCATAAAAACTAACTATGCCATATTTTGGGGCTTCTCACCTTCTGAGATGGGCCACACTCTGTCTGTGGGTGTGTTTCTCTCTAAATAAATCCACTTCTTACCTATCACTTTGTCTCTCACTGAATTCTTTCTGCGACAAGACATCAAGAACCTGAGCTTCACTAAGTCCTGAGACCAGGTGTGTGATCTCAATTAAAAGACCGTGGATTCACGTCCCAATTTGGATTTTGTCTGGGTTTGAGTTCTGGCGCGTGGGTTCAAGTCCCAATCTGAGTTGCACAGTTTCATATCCAAACCAAACCACCAGCATATGCAGGAAGCACTATTGTCTCAACAGGTTGATTCCAAGGTACTTCGTGTCTTATGGAGTCAGAACCTCTCGTTGGCGGCTCGTGGAGAAGAGCTAAGAAGCAGAGGCTGTCACCTGGACCTGGCAGGTGGAGCTCACTGCTGCTCTGCTGTCACTCTGGAGGGGAAAGAGGGTGGGGAACACAGCCCCGGAATGGCCCGGCCCCGTGACACCCCATCATACCGCACGCAGTCCTGTCTGCTAGGGTCTCTGGGCGTGTGCCCAGCATGACCGGCCGTTCTTGTGCAGACAGAAGACATGTGATTCCTGCCAAAGGTTGGTCTGGGGCTTCTGCTCTTCGACTGGAACTCTGAGCACCCAAGGGTAGGGAGCACATCGTCTTGCTCATAGAATGCTTCCTTTTTCAGAGTCTGGCACAATCCCAGCGGTGGTGGATGTAATAAACACCTCAGGGGGACGCTATGACCCGGTTCTGTTGTGCGGAGTTCTGACTCCTGGACCCGACTGCTGGCCAGAGAGAGGACATGAGAAGGATGCCACAGAGGCGCCCCCTGATACAAAACTGCTCCCCGCCTTTCCAGTCTCGCACCCCACTTGCCCACCCCACCAAGGACAATTTCTCCCAGTGTGGTTTTTGGAGCCCCTGAGATACAAAATTGGGAACTGGGTAGTGAAAGAGAAGATGGGAAGCCTCGGGTGGATAAATTAGGAGTCTGGGATTAACAGATACACATTACTATATGGAAAACAGATAAACAGCAAGGACCTACTGTATAGCACAGGGAACTATATTCAATATTTTGTAATCTATAATGGAAAAGAATCTGAAAAATTTGTATATATATGTGTGTATACATATACATATATGTGTATATACACACACACACACACACACACACATGACTGAATCACATTGCCGTACACCTGAAACTAACACAACATTCTAAATCAACTATACTTCAGTAAAAAAAAACAACATCCAGTTAGATTCCTCTACTTAGTAATTGAAAGGTGGTACACCTTAATAGTGTAGACACTGGATCAAGACAGTCTGGGTTCAAATCCAGCGCTAACTAACTCTTACTAGTTGTGTGACCTTGGAAAAGTTTCATCTGCAAAATGGGAGAAATAATAGAGTTTTGGGTGAGGATTAAGTGATTGAACACGTGTAAACCACTTAAAAGTGGGACTGGCACGTGGTAAGCGATTGTTATTAGGCTCAGTGGATGTCATCTCCTTGGGCCTGTGGTCATGTATTGATCAATTGATTCTGAATGGGATATAGGAATTATTGATTGGAGACTGGAGGGCAGAAAGTAGAACAGGAATGCCTTTTGCCACAATGCCCCTTTAGAAAAACACACCTGGAATTTCGCCAGTAAATTGGTTAGCATCTGGCGCCCATAGCTCGTCCACCATCCTTACGCACGGACTGGAGGTCTTGTCCATTTAGCCATTTGCGTATCCTTTTAATGTAGACCCATGAGGTGAGGCTCATGTTTCATAGACCTGAGGTGGAGGATGTCTCCTCAGTTTTAGGCAACAAGACAATACATTGTGACAGTAGGCAACCCATTTCCATCCTACTCTACAGCCAAAGAAACATCTGCCCCCAAGCGCAGTGCAAGTACGGACTTCCACTCCATCATTTCCGAACAAGCCGTTCCCTGAAGGGAAAAACACACACACACAAGAAAGAAAAATCAGTCCTCAAGAGGCTGGGGGAGATCTTAGGGCTGTCCTCTCTTTCCTGGTGAAGGACTCTACCCTCTCACCTGCTGTTACATTTCGGCGAGGGCCGCTGAGTCCAACGCTCATCAGAGGAAGTTGAGGGAAACGGGAATTTGGATAGCTGGAAAGTGAGCTCTGCATGTGGTGAAACGGGCTCCCCTCTCTTAAGCTTTGGCAGATTTTCAGGATGTAGTGACAGAGGAGCAGGGCAGGGGCCGAACACCACTGACCCACCTCTTGCCCCTAGTCAGCTGATCTGATATTGGTGTCTCCCTGCTGGGCTTACACCAATAGGGCTTTTCAAGTGCCTCAGTCCTTGGAAGATCCTCATTTTCATGATCAGACCTGTACCCATCATCTTACCTGAAGGCAATGAGATCACAAAGAGGAAGAGTAACCCAGAGAGACAGAGCCTCATCGTTGAGCAGGGCACAGAGCTGCAACTGCCTGGGGGTGGCTGTCTGGGAGGCTCCTTTATAGCGCTGGGCAAGGCTGGGTGGGGCTGGACGCTGGCCTCATTCTATCTGGAAGGACACCCAGGGGAGACAGGCTTCTTCAGGGTTAGAGGAAAAAAAGTCCCTAGGCCATTCGGCACTACTTCCTCTTCTACAAATCATGGGAGAAGAAGGGACAGTCAAGGCAGAACAGGAGTAGAGACCAGGCGTCCTCACGCTCAGGCCTGGGCACTTCCCCTGTAACTTCAAATGTACACTAATGGAAAAACGGCAGGAAAATGTCTGCTCGTTTTTCCGGTCCAACTGAGAACACAGGAGCCCAGAGAGGTGATGTGATAAAATACAGGCTTAATTTCAGGCCAGAAAGGAAGTCGGCAAGAACTTACAGTGTTCCAAGAAGCAAAGGTTCTCAAGGTGTCGTGGCCTGACCAAGAGCTAGGTAGGTGTTCAGACACAGTGGAGAAGGGAAAGCCTTCTCTTCAGATGCGGATTTGTTCTCCCGTTGGAGGTCCACGCTGCAGGGAATCTTTCCCCCAGAGAAGTTCGCTGAGGGTCTTCGTTTTCCAAATGGTTGATATAAAATGTTGGCTGGAGTTTGGCAACCTTGAGCGTTCTGAGAAAGATTCTCTTTTTGGAGTGGGTGGGTTAGAGCCCTCTCCTGGCCCCTGACAGGAAGAGCCAGTTCATTGCTACGTTCAGGATTGGCTGCCCTCTGCCGGGAGTGGAGTAGAACAACGCTTCCCCGGAGCTGCAGGGACGTGGATCTGGGGAAGGGTCATTAGGTCTGCCTCCTTGGAGGGATGGTGGGGGACCGGGAGTTGAGAAGACACGAACTTAGGGCTTATTCTTGCCCCTGAGGCAGGCTTGTACCCGAGTGACCCATGACTGTAGGATTCTGAGTCTGTAAAGTGGCAACAGAGCATAGTTTTATTGATTACACTCCCTTTTTATTGATTAACAGGCCCTTGGATAAATTATTTAGCATCTCTGAGCTTCAGCCTCTTCTTTTTCTTTTTTTTTTTAACTATTTTTAAAAATTGAAGTATGGTTGCTGTACAATATTATGGAAGTTACAGGTGTACAATATAGTGATTCACAAATTTTAAAGGTTATACTCCATTTATAATTATAAAATATTGGCTAGATTCCCTTTGTTGTACAATATTCTTGTAGCTTATTTTATACCTAATAGTTTGTATCTCTTAATTCCCTACCCCTGTACTGCCCATCCCCTCTTCCTTCTTCCCAGTGGTAACCACTAGTTTGTTCTGAAAATCTGTGAATTTGCTTCTTTTTTTGTTATATTCACTAGTTTGTTGTATTTTTTTTAGATTCCACATATAAATGATATCATACAGTATTTGCCTTCTCTGACTTATTTCACTTAGCATAATATCCTCCGCGTCCATGTTGCTGCAAATGGCAAAATTTCTTTCTTTTTTATGGCTGAGTAGTATTCTATTGTATGTATATATACACCACATCTTTATCCATTCATCTGTTGATGGACCCTTAGGTTGCTTCTTGGCTACTGTAAATAGTGCTACTATGAATATGAACTCTAGGGTGCATGTATCTGTTCAAATTAGTGTTTCTGTTTTTTTTTTTTTTCAGATAAGCTTCCTTTTCTCTAAAAGTGCATTGTAAGAGGTTTTTTTTGATGATGAAATGAAATAGAGCTTGAAAAACGCATCACGCTCATTCTGGTATAGATTTCCTTCTTCTCCTCTCCTCTTCCTCTTTCTGCTACTCTTTGTGCTTATTCTGTATTAAATCCCACCACCACTATAGCTGTATTTCTTTCTCTTCTGCAGACCCTCTCCAAGAGACTTCTTAGTGAATGCAAAATGCTGCTGGGAAAGTTTTATTCTGGGTTCCAACAATACGTATGGTTGAGAGCATGGCTGTAGGTTGGAATGGGAGTGGGAGAGAAATGGTGGGCTAGTGGACTAGAAATATGGAGGTCGGTGCTAGATCAGGGCTGAGCATTCCCTTGCAGTCCCCAGGAAAGGCTCCCAGGAGACCCTGCACTGGGCATATGATTCCCGGCAACGGAGCCCAGGCCATATCCTTACCATCTGCTGCCATAGACACAGTGTAGGCTATTAGTGGCACCTTATTCTTTTAGAGATGGAGGAAACAAGGCTCAGATTGGTGAATGGGCTTGCACAAAGGAAAGAAGCAAGCTGTGGGCTGTGCTGGCATCAAATGTTCAGCTGTCTTAATACTCGGTTCGGAACTCTGTCCTCCATATATTTTAGATTGTTCAATTGTGCATTAGGGAATATGGGAACTATGAACCTAACATTTTCTAAATACTTCGGAGTCCCTCCTACACGCAGTTCTGGAAAAGCAGATCTAATATGTGTCTGGGGATCAGTACGTGTTCAGGACAGACCCTTTCCTTTCCACCCACAGATGTCCTGATTAAATTACCGTCCCGACGTTCGGGCAGGAGATCCTCCTAAGTGAGCCAAGTGTTCCTTCTGCCCCAGGTCTTGTTGGGCTAAGCTGCCAGGGAAACACAAATGGATTTAGTGTTGCTCTGTTAGTGCTTTCTTCCTTTATCTTAATTTGCTGGAATTCTCATGCCCTCCTTATTATCGTCCTTACCTTTGAGAAAAAAAATCCACTGCACATCCTATGTAACCCTAAATGAATTATCCTGTTTAAGGAGCATGCTTCCTTTTCAGTTGCCTCATTCACTAGTCAGACCCTTCCTGAGTGCAATGACTTAAACTCCATTTTAAAATTATGCTTTTCTTTCCCATTATGGTTTACTACAGGATATTGAATATAGTTCCCTGTGCTACACAGTAGGACCTTGTTGTTTATCCATTCTATACGTACTAGTTTGCATCTGCTAACCCCAAACTCCCAATCCATCTCTCCCCTACTCCACCCTTGGCAATCACAAGTCTGTTCTCTATGCCTGTGAATCTATAAAGTCCATTTATTAGAGCAGTTTTAGGTTCACAGGAAAATTGAGTAGAAAGTGCAGACAGCTCCCTCCTGTTCCCACACGTGTACAACCACCTCCATTATCAACACCCTGCACCAGAGTGGTACGTTTGTTACGAATGACGAACCTACACTGACACAGTATCCCTCAAAATCTATGGTTTACACTAAGTTTCACCTGTGGTGTTGTATATTCTGTGAGTTTTGACAAGTGTATAACATCTATCCACCACTGTAGTATCCTACAGAATCGTTACCCTATCCTAAAAATCCTCTGTGCTCTGCCGTGGTTCTTATTTTTAAACTTTTAACATAAATTATTGATAAAAGATGCAATTTAATACACATAAAGAAAAATAAACAAATCACAGACGCAGCTTAGTGACTGAACATACAGCAAACACTGTGTAACCACCACTCAGATCAAGGAAACAGATGTTCTCCAGCACCACCGACGGTCCTAGTGCACCACTGAGTGACCACAGCCCACTCCCTCCCTCATAAAGGGGTTTTGAGTGCATGGTCCGGATGAGCCGGTGCAAACGTCCACCGGCGCAGCACCTGCTTCCGCTCCTGGCGGGGTGGAGGGGTGCAGGTGCCGCGGCGGCCAGCGTGGGTGCGCTCAGCGGCTCCTGGCCCTGTGCGTGGACTGCAGGCTGGGGTGTCTGCAGAGGCTGTACGGCAGGGTGAGGGATACCCTTGAGGTGGACTTGTAAGGTGCAGCAGCCCGAGGAGTAGCAGTAGCACCAGCAGCACGAGGTGGTAAGTTCTGCAAAGCCGGAGGACCGCCTCCAGACGGGCAGCTGTCAGTCACACCTCGCTAGGCAGCGCTAGCCACCGAAGTCCATAGCCAAGCAGTCCGGGGGCACTCAGACCCAGATGCAGCCAGATGGCGAAGAGCTGGATGAGGCCCAGACTGGCATATAGCACTTGGCATTCCTTGGAAGCCTTGCTGCCAGCGTGGGCTAGGTCTCATCTGTGCTAGATGGTTAGGTGTGTAACATGGAGGGCTTCTCTGAGCCTGTGGAACCGCCGGCACAAAGTAGCCCCCAGCTGCAGGCTGGGACTGATTTAAGATGGCATTGGTGGAGAGCACTCTCATCCCTGCCACCCGCTGCGTATACTGGTTGGGCAGGTGAGCCTTTCTCTAGGCCACGGTGACACACAGTGGCTTGGAGCCCACGATGCATCCGCTCAGTGACTGCTCTGCTTGCCCCTTGGGGGCATGTGGAGCAGACAAAGCCAAACCCTTGCTTCTCCCCATCCTCCTGCGTCCCCCTCGGCACTGGCGATTGATCCAAAAGGAGAAAACTCTTACTGAACTTCTCATCATCACTGGTGTCATCCAAGTTCTTAATGTAGAGATTCACCCCCTGACAGCGACCAATTCTCTCCTGTTTCGGCGGTTCAAATTTCCACTTTAACGGGGCCTGCTGATTCACTTTCTTCTGTGCACGGCCGAGGAAAATGACTTTCCCACTGATTGCTTTTCCATTTGTCTCTTTCAAGGCCTTGTTGGCATCCTGGTGTTTTTTGTGTCTCACAAAGTCAAAGCCTTTGGATTTCCCGCTAAGATCTCTCACTTACCTTGACGCTTAGGGTATTACCAAACTGGCTGAAGAGCTCTTTCAGTCTCTCATCACCCACCCCTTCCCCCAAGTTTTTGATGTAAACGTTGGTGAATTCCTTGGCTTTGGCTCCAAGCTTGGCTTCCCGCTCTTTTCGAGACTTGAATCTGCCCACAGACACTTTGTGGTCACTGAGGGTCATGCCCTTCATCTTCTCGATGGCTTTGTCGGCGGCCTCTTGGGTCAAAGGAATAACCCTTAGGGCCGGTCTCATCACACCCACCTTGCAGGACAGAATGTTTCCAAAAGCAGAAAAAGAATCACGAAGTGCCTTGATACGTATAGATTTGTCCAGGTTCTTCATGAAGACGTTTCCCACGCCAGGTTTTCTCAAAGAGGGATCCGCTGAGGCCACGTGATACGGGTCAGCTTTC